TTCGCCCATATTTATTTATTTAAATTTCATGGGACAGATCTCGCGAGGAGATTACAAAAATAAAATTCTGAAATTGCTTCTAGACACATATGTATTATGTAAAAAATGTAGAAAGAAATCAAATTCTAAACAAGGGAATAATGATTGAACTGAGGCGAGGAACGGATCGATGACGATCGATAAGGAACAAGTCTAATTTCTGCATCAATATTTTCGATGACGATCGTTCGGGAATAAATTGATTATCGTCCAGACGTTTATCAATTGACTTCCTTGGCACCGATATCGGAAGTGTTTACGATCAACGAGCCGATGCCAGTGAGCGAAGTCAGCGTGCAAGAGAGTCACAGCGTCGCTAAAAGGAATCGTGGGCGACGCGGGCATAAATCAACGAGCAAGATAGAAGAGAATCGTTCTCTGAACGCGTCGACAATAGAGAGCACGGACACGAACACCACTTCCCTTCTGAAAACGATCGTGGAAGAGCCCGTAAAGCCACGATGGATTTTGCTACCGAGCGAAAGTCACAGGTTTAAGATCCGTTTTCGACCGGCAGAAACGGGTCACTACGAAGAAACGTTCGCGTTGACGCTCGTAGACGGAAATTACGTTACTTACGAGGTGAATGTTATCGGTATCGCGGATATACCGAGGCTGGATATGAATCCCAAAACGATCTTTCCAAAAGTACTTATTATCTCTATTTTCCTACGTATATTCCATAATCCAGATATTATTTTCTCCTTTTCCAGAAGATTATCTTCCGATCTTTGCATTGCTTGTATCATACAACAATCCTCTGATGACTTTTTTTCTTTTTGTTTCACTGACAACGAGTGAAATTTAAATTGTTTACTTGAAAGAAGGACCTGCAAGAGTAAATATTTTTTGGATCCAGTTTTTAATATCGAGTACTGTTACTTTCACTGATAATTGTAATAATTTTTTAACTATTCTTAGAAACATTAGAATGATCATATCAGTTCGTAATTTCGTAAATTTTAAAAAGATCGTTTGGAAAATATATTTATTGCGTTATAAACCTTTTCTCTACCTTGAAGTTCTATATTTTGTTTTTTACGTATGTTTATAAAATAATTAAAACCTTTATAATAATTTTTGATTAGAAATTACAGTCAATACTTTGTACATCCATCATAAGCTCATGGGCTCTTGTTTTCAAAAAAGCTTCTTAATTTTAATTCAAGTATTCAATTTAAATTCCAAATAAGATGGTAAAATAAATAAAGATGATATTATTTTGTATTATTACGGAAAAATTCGGATGTATCTGGGTTAATCGTTTAATCTCAACAGCTGTTCAGGGTTTTTGCAAAGTTTTATGCAAATTTATTGTAGAGAAAATTGAACGAGACAGACAGCTCCACGTATATTTACGATAAAGAATTATACGACTTCGGGTCTCAGCTGGTTCTCCATAAAGACAAAAGGTACTTTTCCATTATAAATGTTATAATTATTCTGTGATAAATATAGGTACACTAATGTAATGGATAATACGAAATTATAAATAAGATATTATAAAATATATATAAAATAAGTATGCTAAGTAAAGGTATAAAATAAGAATGCTAAGTAAAGGTACAAGAGAACTCGAGAATATCAGGTTAAATCGGATCGAGAATTTTTTATTTACTATCGGGTCAAGTCTTCGAAAATACCTCGCGATATGAAAACGTCGAGATGTCCGAGATTTCGAGAGCCCGAATCATGTTTCAGGATGAGTTTTGTCGAATACGTTCGTGAATCGAAAATGTTTGCAAAAACTTCTATGTAGTACACTTCAATGTAGTATTTTTAAACAGCTACGAAAATAGTATAAATATAATGGAAAGATCGATATCATGAGAATGCCTTTTTTTACATGCTAACTTGAGGTAAAATATTACCTCTGACATTTAATACAGTTAGTTTTTCCCTGTATTTTATATTCTATAATTCTATATGTAAAGAAGAATTTAAAAATTAAATACGATAGAAATCTGCTATATTTGAACATTCTATTAGTCGAATAAATTATTACGTATTTATTTATTAGTAACACTAATAAGTAAATATTAACGACACTATACCTTTTCTTGTATTAAATTATTTTACAGTTGTAACTAGGCATCGAAAAAGCTATGGAACTTTTTACGAAATTCTATTTAAAACATTATTTTACACTCGATCAAAATAATTCTCCGCAACCGTGTCAAAAATATTTTACAAATTTTCGTAAAACTTCTTGATTCGATTTCACGAATTTTATGTATGGTATGTGCATCCATCCTCATTTCTTCGTCCATGCTAGTAAGTCTTTCGAAGGAAAGAATTAAAGAAAGCGAAATTGCATTTACATTTCTTCGAGTTTTCGTAATATCGTGAAATACTTGTGACAAACTCGCGGAACACCGAACCACCGTGTTATCCCATGAATTCCCTTATTTTGGTTATAATAGTTACGATCCTGCAATACCATTCACATTCCTTGTTTTATTACAATCTGAGAAATACGAAACCAATTGCTTCCCTTGAACGGAACGAAACTATTCGGTCTATTATAAGGGAGGCTCGTGTACGGAATCGATCCGGTTCCTTCCACTTTAAATTAGCGAGTTCGCAAGTTACCTCGTCTTATCTATTCGCAGGCCGCATCGTCGAGAGACTCGGCTGAAGTTTTGCAACATTTCCGAGGTGGAGGCGGACGTTCGCATCTCGCTGACGGAAAACGGTTCCGAGTGTTTCTTCGTTCAACCCCAGCAGCTGCTTATCGCCGTACGTTATCGGCTTAACTCTGTTTAATCATTCCGTAACAGCAGCCCGCGTAATCGAACGATCCTCTCGTTAACGAGAAACGAAATTTGCACAGCGAGGCAACTGCGCGACTGTGACTCTGTCGGTCATCGCCACCAGGCTAGGGACCATTGCTGGGAAGTTGCTTCTCTGCGTGAAGAACAATCCGAGAGTCGAGGTGATCGAGGTAATTATACAATTATAAATAGAGCTTTTCCGAACGAATAAATTCAGGAATTTATATTTATAGAAGAAAAGGGATTTGAAATATTTCATAGGGAGAAATATTTCTTTATAGAAAAATTTCTTCTTCTCGAATAAATTTATGGGGGTGAAAGGGGGTTTGAGTTTGAGATATTTTGCAGGCATTAAAATTGAATGTGAAATTGTTTGAACCTTGTAATTTAAAAAAAAAAAAAAATCCAGTTGCAGAGCGAAGGCACTAAGCTCGACATCGAGCTAGATGAAAAACAGTTGTCCTTCGGTCGCACGCTTCTCTACCGAATGGAACATCGAACATTGACGGTCAGGAACAAAACTCCGGTCCCGTTTTTCTGGCACCTGGAGGCCGAAGAACCTGCTGATCCTCAAATAACGTTCGCACCTTCGCGTGGAGTGATAGAGAGCCGCAGTGAACAAAAGATCGAGTTTTGTTACCACGCTACCACGGTAATCTGTGTTTCTCTGATTTTTACAGAGCTAGAAATTTGTTAAATTAAAAATTGCCAGGTCAAATGATATGTGAATTTTCGGTGATCAAGTAAAGTTAAAGCATTATTTATTTGTGTCTAATTAGTGCAAAACCGACAGACAATTGTGTATTATAACTGTTATATATATACCATTTTGGAATCGATATAATACCGATTCTGTAGAACTACAATTAAAATTAATTCACTGACTTCCCGTTAATTGCAGGATTATTATTGAAATTATTAAAAAAAATTCCTGAATATTTTTTTTAGAATTAATAGTAATTTAATATCTCGTTGATATTTAGATTACTTTGATTCTTGGACATAATTTCTGCGAGTAGATTAGTAACTTTTATTTATACTATTTTTTGAAAGGTTCATTTCAAAACGATTAATTTTCTTGAAATTTTGAACGATTAATTTTGGATTGATTGAATGAAATTTTCCAATTTTCTTTAGATTAAATAATTTATCATAATAATCATTAAAACTAGAATTAATTCTGTCACAAATATTTCCAGATTATTTCAATTCTTATAATTGTTTCGAGAGCACAGAAATAATATAATTATAACCAATGTTATAACCGGTCTTAATCCCTATAAAAGAATTCGAATTAGTATATTAACAAGCAAGGATTACTCAAGGAAGAAATTTTACACAGATCGGCATGGTCCAGAGGAAGGCGATAATCTTCAATGCATTCTTGGACGAAGACGACGACGATCCCATTTTCTCCGATGTCGTCCTACTATCTGGAGAAACTTATGACGTTGCAGTGGATATCAACTATGCGAATCCCATCGATTTGAAACATATAAAGGCAGATTCTCCGGCGAAAGCGGTGTTCTCCATGAGAAATCGCGGTGACTACGAGGTGAAATACGTGTAAGAATAACTTGATCATTGTCTTCCTTTTCTGTATTTTCACGAATAAAACGAGAGAAACGATGATTTTATAGAATTACGTTGGATGACAATGAGAAACTGGCGAAACTAAACTTGCCTGCTAATTTGAAGAAGAAGCTCGAAATTCGACCAACCACTGGAACTATTTTACCAAATAATGAGAGAACTATAGAAGTTTGTACTTTGAAGAATATTTCAGTCTGACTTAAAGAGAATTTTCTTTTAAATTGGGGCCAGTTGGAAGTTGATTAACTTTATTTTTTTAAATATTTTTTAATTTCATTTGCTTTCTATCAGGGTCGAACAGATTAAAACGAAAGATAGAAAATAAGAATTCTAAATAATGAGAAATTTTGCAGCAATCCATTATTTTTATTCGAGAAACAAAATAATATAGCTTTTATTACAAATCATCTTTCATTGAAATTAATTCGTTGAAATAAAATAATAAAAATGATAAAATCAGGAGTTATTTGACAAATGATTTGTGCAAATTCCAAATACAAAGTAAAATAAAAGATTATGTTATTTCAAAGCTGAACAACGAAATAATTTCAAAAAAAAAAAAAAAAACTTGCTTGTCCGAATAAACCAATGCAAGATCATTTTAAGATAACACGCAGTCAAGTAAGATTATTATTTAAATAACTATTTTTCAAATATGTTATCCAAATAATGCCCAAGCTTGCTTTTTATAAGTTTTCTACCAAATGTTTTTTAATGAAATTTTCAAAGATGTGAATTTTCACAAAAATCCGCATTCTATTACATTTCTGTTATTCTATGTAATTTACTTGCGCGTTCACAGATAATATTCAAGCCGAAGACTGAATTAACGCTCAAGGAAGCCCCGATATTGAAATGCCATTTGATTGACACGTACAAGGAAACTACGATAATCGCTGAAATTCCTCTCAAAGTTTCTCTCGACGCATATTACGCTAGGTATGGTTCTTCAAGACTCTTGGATAAGATTAAAGATTTTATCAAATTCCTCTTTGAACGACAGATTTCGTATTAACCCGTATCCTGTGGTGAACTTCGGGACTTTAGCCATATGTACTGAGAAAACGATGTACCTCAATATTGAAAATATCGGAAGATTCCCCTTACATTATTCCATTCAACTGATATACAAACACCCTTCTGTCATTTACATGACCAAAACGTTGCAGGATGATTCTGTGGAAACGATGAATCTCGCAGAAAAGAGACAGAAGCCGAAAAAGGGGAAAAAATCTGTCAAAAGCGAGACTAAGTATTGCTATTGTTCTTCGTCTATATAGTCTCTACAATTTTCCTTGGATTTATCATCATAAATGAATAAATCAAGGAAGACGAATAAATAAACAAGTGAATAAATAATTAAATAAGTAAATAAATAAATAGATTACGAAATGGTTACTTTTACCATTTTCGTGGTTCAATAACAACTAGTATAATATACATTCTTCGCCTACTTTGAAAAATAAATAAATAATAATTCAATAACGAAGAAATAATTTGTCATGAAGTTCTTTTATTGATTCAATTAATAATTCGCTTAACTTTTCAAAAATTCACGACATTCGCATTTTGGATATTTCAATTAATTTCAAATGTACAGGATCGTCTCGGGAGCAGGAAAATTAGTAGGACCAATGACGAGTTTTTTATTGATTTAATTAATAATTCGCTTAACTTTTCAAAAATTCACGACATTCGCATTTTGGATATTTCAATTAATTTCAAATGTACAGGATCGTCTCGGAAGCAGGAAAATTAGTAGTAGGACCAATGACGATAATGAAACTAGAAGGCACCGTGGACGTTGGTCAAATGGATAGCATCGCCATCGCTTGCTATCCAGAGTTCGTCGGCTCCCAAGAGGAGCAGATCCTCGTTGTGGTGCAAGACAGCACGCCCGAAGACAGGGAAGGGAAAATAGTCACGTTATCTGTGAACTCGTCTATGCCCACTATCGATTTTCACGATCTCGACTCGATGTTTCAAGAAAATCACGTAGTCGATAGAATTCAAGACTTCGAGTGTCCTAAAGATGTTCTTATCTTCTCTCAATCCTTTAAGCCTCTCGAGTGTTATGATTCATCCCTGATAACGTGCTTCACAGCGGAATGAACAGATCGTATATCAACAGCTCGTACATCAAGAAAATTCTACATTAATATCGTGACATCTAATATCTGAACTCCTCCGGGAGTGGAATCGTGTAAATTTTAAATCGTGTTTAATGGGACATTACAGCATACTTCATGCGGAAAGCTCTTTAAGGGGATATTTCTATTCATCCCCACATCGATTCCCAGGTGATTTATCGATTTAGGGTAAAAAATTGTTAGCTCATTACAAGTTATATGAGAGTTTTTTTTTTGTTATTAATCAAATTATTATATATTTTCTGGAGAATATTCCTCTCCATAATAGCTGTCGCGATTTACATTAATCTGGAGAGGGAAAAATCGGAGATAAATTTCATCTATACAAAAATGGTTGTCTCGAATTTATCGTCAAACAAAAGATAAATTTCAACAAATCGAAACATTTGAACAAGATCTAACGATATTTGTCGTTCCTGCTGTGAATTAACTTTGATCACGATGTACATATAACAGCTTGAGGCGTTAAAATGACTCGTACGTTGTAAATTTGGATTTACAAGCCTGTACTTTGCTTCTTGTTGCTTTCCTCTTAGATCGGAGCGCACACGGTGTTCGCCCGTCAAGAAAAATGCCTTTATTTCCGGCGCGTCAACGTGCTGAGCACCCACGCAACCTGCTTCAAATTGCACAACCGTGGTGTAGTGGCTGCAAACGTGGAAGTTCACTTGATGGAAGAGTCTCTGACGTTGAGCACAGCGAAGTCCAACACATTTATCGTAGAACCGTCAGACGAAGAAATCCCTCCCATGAGTTACAAGGTCTTCACCGTGTCTTTCACTCCGCACGTCATACAGGTGAATAATTGCAAAATTCTTACTCTCAGAGATTCAATGAAACTGCTCGAAATTTCTTCGGGCATACTTTGCAGACGTTTCAAGGAACGTTTCGAGCCGCCGTGGTTCTGCCCCCGCATCTTGGGGTTGACCAGCTATTCATCAAACTGATAGGGGAATCTTGCGTGCCGGAAGTGGCGATTACAGAGCCGGTACACGAAGCACGGAGGAGACCTAGTTTGAACTTCGCTCGTACATTGATCGACGAGAGCAGTTGCAGATATTTTGCTATAGAAAACGTCGGATTCATTAGGGCGAAAGTCATCGTGGAGATCGACGAGGATCTGAATAATGTATTTCTCTTCTCTGTTTCTTTGGACACGCAACAACATTTACTGCAAGCCTGGGAGGAGTATTGCAACGGTGAGCCATTTAACCCTTGCCCAGCGAAAGTTGTTCTTGCAAATAGCAGAACTTCGTTTATACACTGGTTAATCCTGAGTCTCAAATACGCGAACTCATAATTGATTAATTTCTGTTATTGTTGTTTTTTATTATCCAAATGAATAATAAGAGTAGAATATTATTTGAACGAACGAGGCTCTATTGTATTTTATAACGATAAAGTGAAGAATCGATTTAAAAAAGATTTTTACCTGTTCTTCAATGTTTAGTTTCTCAATTAATCGTTTAATAAGAAATTTGTCGTCTTTCCTTTTTATATTAGGTGGCACAGATTAATTCGTGATTCTCGCAATTAATTAATTGTAAACTTTACTCTGAATTCAATTCTGATCAATTATTTGTGTCAACATTTTAAATGATATAATTATATAACAATTAGGCTGTGAATTGTTGTGCAGATTTATACTTTTAAGAAGATAATTTAAACGAATAGAATTTTGGTTAAAAATTATTTAGCAAATGTACTATATTTTCGATGTTTTAAACACATACTTTTTTCATATTAGAAATCTGTGCAACTTTGTACATGAAAATTCCAAATGTCAAGTTAAACAGTTAAACAATTAAAAATATCGTTATTAAAAGAAGAAAGATATCGCTAAATATTTGCAATATTATCGTTTTAGAGTTACATGATCGATGTACCGTAGTTCGTTTAGCGCCTGGAAACGTGGCTCGTTTCAAAGTAACCTTCACCCCGATTGAAGTCGGGAAATATTGCGGGAAAATTCGTCTGCACGTGGTCGACAATCCGTATGAGAATATGTTGATTAATTTGGAAGGCGAGTGTTACATCGAAACAGTCATTTTCGAGGGTTTGCAGTTCGAGGAGAGCAAAGAAAAAGCAGCGACCAAAAATCACAAGATCCGGAAAGTCTCGTCCAAGCAGAATTCTCTCGTTTCAAGTAAAAATGCCACGTGTTACAATTTCAAAAATTTGCGTTTATGCATTAATTGAACTGTTGTTCCATTTAAAATCCCATCTAATAATCCCATCCAATATCTCCTGTATTTTTAATATGAGAAATGTTTAAATGGTTTCAGAAGAATTTCAATATACGGTATATAGAATGTTTCTTTTTTTCATGATAATTTTTTATATATATATTATCATGAAAAAGAAACATTATATATATTATATTGAACATCTTAATAACATCATATACATGATATATATTAAGATGTTTAAAACTCAAGATTCAAATGTGTATAATCTCAAAATAGCTTTAAACAGTGGAAACATAAAATTCTGAAACAATCTCAAGATAGTACGTGTACATATAACTTATTTTCCATATGAAAATATAACAAATATTTACCGAAAGTAAATGAACCGCGTTATCGAAATTGTTTCATACATATAAGTATCACATTACGAGGGCAAGCCTTCGTGAATAACATTTATTATTTATTCGATTTCGTTCAAGCTCTGCTGTTTTATTGATAGTGACTCAAATAAAATTGTTTCACAGCTTCGAGTATCTCGATGCTTCCAGCGTCTCTGACCTACATTCTCGACTACGGGCTTTGTTTCGTTAGCAAAATGTACAAAAAAGCGTTTAAGATTGTCAATAAATCTACGGATCGGTCGTTCCGCTTCCAATGGAGTGCACATCCCTACGTTGTGTTCGAGCCATCTGTTGGACACATCAAGTATCTCACGTCCAAAGAAATCGTTGCTACCTTCCTGGCACCGGAACCCACGAATCAAGAGAACGTACGTTTCCAAAATGAAACCTGTTGTCTGAATCGTGAACGAAATAACACCCGAACTTCAGTTATCCTGTAATAACATTACCTTGAAAATTCGATATTTGGCGAATGCTAGAGCCATCCTTACTATCAATAATGATAATAATAATGAATATAATTGTTATCTTTATAGACAGAAGAATTTTTGGATAATATTTGCAACAACTATCTTTCTGATACTAAGTTGCACGTATTTAAGGAAATTGTCAATTTGTTTCAATATTTAAGTAATTCCACTTAGAGAAAAATGATAGAGAATAATATATCGTTATGCGTGAGCAATTATGTTTAAAAATTTCTACTTGTTGAGTGCTATGCAAAATTATTAAGTTAATTATTCAGTATTAAATGTCATAATTATATTGTATGTACGAAATCAATGTTACATTTACTATACATTATTTAAAGCTATAAAAATAAATTTAAGTCACTGAAAGTGGTCAAAAATAGTGTGAATTGTCAACATCATCCCCGAAGAGTTAATCTATATCAGAGAGAAATGCAAAGTAAAATTAAATGCAAAAAACTCGAAATTTTGTAAATGCCACATCTATAATCCAACGATTTCTGAATTAAATGGAATCCGAAAACTTCAACTTCTGTACTTCACGCAGCCAATAAATTGTTTCTTACAATGTAATTTTACTTTTTATTTTTAGGTTCGCATCGAATGTTCGATATGCGAAATTCTGATAGAATATTCAGAGGCTGAGACTGGTTGGGATGACAGACAAGTTGAAATACGTTGGGAGAAAATACACCACGATCTAATAGGTCAATTAAGCGACGTGGAATTCTTATTGAAGAAGATCGTGGAGCCAACTATAGAACCGAAGCACGAAGTTGTGCCTGGAACAAGCAAATCGATCCATCTCTTATTAAATGCCGTTGTTGCATTTTCGAAATGCTTGTGCACTGTCGACAATGTTTGTTTTAAAGACACCTTGATGTTTCAGGTCGATTTTCTTCTTTACAATTCGATAATTAAAAATGAATATTATACAGAGCGATCGGCCTTGATCTTTAAATGCAAATTGCTCTTAAACTATCCGTTATAAAAAAAAAAAAAA